CAAAGCGAAATTCTACGAACAACACATACTACTCACGTGCCTCCCTATCAGTAGTATCACCGTTACACCCGTAGTACGGGGTATCGCTGCTCTAGGTCTTACTGCTCCCATTTGGCCTTTCTGGCATGGTTACAGCTTGTGGAACGAAGTCTCAGTCACTGAAGCCCGCAGGATCATTGCAGCACTCAAGACCGACCACCACGTCAAGATGGTAGCTTTGGGTCGCGGCATTTTTACTTTGCATTGCAGGAATCGAGGGCGCACTTGAATAATTTTTGCATGATAATGTAAAGACGAAATTTTGAATATGACATCTCAGTTTGGCCTTTTGATAAAGAAAACTGGCCGTTAGTCGATCACAAATATTCACGACAGAAACATACATTGGTCGCCCTAGTGTAAACTAAGTCGTTCTGTGCTCTCGAAATGGACCTTGAAGCCAATGTCCTCTGAAAGAGCACTTCCAAACAACGATTATTTTCCATGTCCTTGGGTTGCAAAATGTGATCTTAACGATGACCAAAATTGAAAATGCGTTCGTCAAGCCTTATGTTACTTTACATCAGGTAGATGATTGAGCAATGGTGTGAATAAAAAACTGCTCTCCCCATGCGAGTGGATGCCACAACGTGAGTTTCATCCCTATGGTCCAGAACTAATATGATTTCCTCCTCTTTAAATGTCCCATTTCCGATAAGACCGTTTTTCTCTGTTCCATTGAGAGTACTTCGGCTCGTGAAGTCCCTCAGGGAAGAAACCAGGTATGAAAAAGTGTCAGCCTAATTAATTCTCCCAAACGGCTTTTGGGGATGGGACATCTTTTCCACACTATTTTTCCGGGCAGACAACTTGAAAAATCGATCAGAAATAACCTATTGTGGCGACCCCATTCTACGCTTATTCCCTCCAATGGGGACGAAGGTGGCCTCCTCTGCGAGTTGGTACCTTCTAGAAGAGTATTACTGAAATACGCTCAACAGATCAAAATATTTTTGACAGGCGATCTCTTTGTTCGCTATAAGGTTGGCCAGATAACATGTTACAACAGTAACTTTAGTCTACATTTGACAAAAAACCCTAAACTAGAATACCGCTTAACAGTATCACACCATACGCATCAGTTTAAACTTAATAACACCTACAAATCTGTACAGTCTCGGTACTAGAGTTGTCCCTCGTTAGACATAACCTCCACGTCAAGAAGGGATTGCCTACAAAAAATCGTGAGCAAGTCCATGATACAATTCAAGTTGGCGTTCGCAGGGGTTGTGGCTTTCTAACAGAGTTTTACTGACATGCATATTTTCCGCGGGTGACAATGATGTTTCTTACCAGGAGTTCTTTTTTGAAGTAAGGTCATGAAGTAAGGTCACCATACTAATGAACGTCGTTTTATTGTTAACAGAAGGTGGCTCCTGCAGTCAACAGAGATTTCTTTAGCCAACCGGGCCATTTCCCTTGGGTAGCCTTTGTTGAGAGGTCTATACAACATCCTAATTATCGTTCCAAATGAAACACGAGGTGGTCTTTGTGCATCAAATTCTGTTGAAAGTGTCATAAGCGACAGATTCGCTTAAATATACGTTGAGTCTCACTTTAACACCAGGTAAACATCCTTCAGTTTATAAAGGAAACTACTCACAGGGTCGCTGGAAACTCTTGGACAGCCCATGACCGGTTCCGCCCTTCTTGGGGCTGATCAGGTAGTCCCAGTACCCGAGTTTCCCTCAACCTTATGTTTTACTTGAACCCAAGTGAACATCTTTTAGTTTATCTCACAGAATTTGAATGTTGATCCTAATAAAATGCCCCTTGATGTGTCGTTTCGCTCAAGAACTATTATTCTCGTCTGCTTTTGTTCGAACTGTGTATTTTTCCTGTTACAAGTTACACTGATGTAGAGATCGAGAACTTAATAAGTACCGTATCGTGGATATGCGTTAAACAAGGCGTTGTCGAGGCCCACTGACATATTTAACAATAAAACACACGCCTTATAGAACACTTGCCTGGCCATACCTCGAAGAACATAATTCAGATGCTGCCAGGCCAGCAGCCAGATGGTCAAAAAAATCCTACGAGATCAGTGCTCAGCAGATCTTTAAACAAAATGTCCCGCAATGTTAAGACCAGCTCCGAACAAAAACCATTTATTGCGTTGTTCAGGGCTGATCTTTATTGGCTGTCACAGTCGTATAGATTACCAGCCTCTGGTTATAGCTGAAGAGGATCATCTGTGCCTCGTCTGGTTTGGCGGATACCATAGGTTGTGGCTTGACTTTGCGTAATCGACCTAGTCTTCCGTACCATCGGTAATGAGGGTGATCGTTGTTGGAACGTTCAATACAGTGCTAGGGGAAATGAACGAATGAGCTAGGGACAATAAGAACTTCTGTCATCTAATGGTACCACGCACCGAAAAATAGTTCCGTCCAAAGCCCCACCTTGTAATTATTTACTGTCCTGTAAAGCGTTCGCTCAGATCGCGTACCCTACCATTGGGGTTGTGTCACTCAGAAAATTTGCTCCCAATCAAATACTGGAATGAACGGGTCATGTGCCGGGCAATGCAACCAGATTTTCTCTTTCTCATTGTTCACAGATCGTGCTGTCAGTGGTGGTCGCCGTACTCACAGCAGAGGAACATGCCCTTGGTCTCAGACAACCCTCCGGTGTTGGTGCGCGCCCAAGGCCAATGGCTACCGAGTTGTGTAACCAGGTGGATTGCCTTTTGGATTCTAGAAATACAAGGAATGACAGGCAATCACATGGTTCACAAACATTGTTTCCGTCTGAAGTGGTACGGTTGAAGGTCATTTGTTCTTTTCCCTGTGGTTGCTTGTCTCCCTTTGGTTGCAATCGCTTAAGTCTAGCAATCGTGTCGCTTCTCTGAATCCTAGAGCGGGAAACAGCACGCTAGATTCCTTTTGAAGGGAACTTTCAAGAGACCAGCTAAATTCTTTCTCTGGCGTTGAATGTCCTCCATTGGATGGTCTGGTCTTGTTAACTATGTTGAAGTCTAAAACACCCATCAGGGGGTTTGCTTCAGTATACACTCATATCTAAGCTTGGCGATCTTGATTTATTATATAGCATGGGTCTAACTAGCAAAAACAAATTAATTTCAACGTACACTGGGTACCGTTTTTACTTTTGATTTTCCACCAGTTACATCAGTAGATTCATGCAAACGTAAAATATATAGGAATTTTGAGACTTCCTGGTTGAAATTTTGCTCTACTATTTTTAGAGGGAGTCTCCGTTCTCGGGGTCCCCTTTCTCCGTAATTTTACGCTGTGTATATAAAAAAACATGCTTTTAGGCTATCTTTCCCGTATACCGTAGAAGGTTTGATTTTTCGAGTCCCACTTTTTCCAACAATTCTCCTCCTTGAATGAAAGAACTCAAAGTTTGATGAGGGTGCACCGAGATGATATAGCTTGCTGACACAGATATTACCATAGTGAATTATTGACATCAGTCATTGGACCCAGATGCTGACCGCTCCGTTGAGACCTGCAGAGGTGACTGAGCTGAAGAAAGCTTTATCAAAATGACAATCCTCACTCACCAGCGCGTTATCTGATACCAATAATTCCACCCGTTAGATCACAGCAACTAGCATCGCGCACTACTCTCCTTACAGCTTTGACTTTTATTGCGTAGTAAGATTTGATGTGCAGGCTCTGACCCCGAAATTTAGAATGGACCAATTAATAACTGCCTAACTCATCTTAAAGAGCCACATGCGCGCTGCTAGGTGAAATTGCTTCCCGATAAGACCATTCTGGGAATCCTATGACAGCGGCTTCACACCAGTCCGTCTGTCGGATTGGAGCGTACTCCACCGTAGTGCAGGGTGGATCGGGGGGACAGTGCTTTCTTGCTTCAGGCTTACCGTATTTTTTTTATCACCATTCGATACTTTTATTTGTACAGTTTAATTATCTCAGCCATTACTGCGTATCTGCTAGTGAATTAGAAAACAGCCCAACTGGGTCTCCATTTGGGTGAAGCATGAATGTACCAAAGAACCCGATGGATTTTCAGATTTGTAGCCAACCAGACTCCGTCGCACTCCTTACTTGAGGGTTGTGGCTGAGAGTACCCATTTTGCCTGTTCGCATACAAACTGACACCTTGTTTTTTCCAGGTGAATATGTAGACTGCTCGTAACGAAGGTGGACGATTGAGTACCGTCCACTCTGTCGCGCACAACTGTACGGGAGAACCACGGAAATCACCCAGTCCATATGTGCACTATTCAAAACATTGCCTCAAACATGAAAGTCCTCGTCAAGTTGCATCTTTCCCAGATTGTTGTTTGAGTGTGTGGATCAGTTTGTTTAGTTTTACGTTTATCGTGTTCTGTCGCCGTGAAAATGACAAATTTTATCAGATCATCAATCTGGTTTTGAGTGGCGTGCTAGGTCAGACAACGCAAGTAAGGAACCAGTTAAATAGCCGTTTTTTGGTCGTATTATTTGTCTACGGTGGTACACACAAAGTCTAGTGGTCCTCCGGACCAGAGGAAAATCTGACCCTCCTCCTCGTCATCATCATCGACGGCATGTCAGTGTCCCCCGCGAATCCAGTGACAAGGGGCGAATGAGGTGAACCCTAGGAATATGAAACTGCCTGGCAGAGCCCTCATTCACGTTGAAATTCAGGTTTATACTGCATTGCCATCACACAATTATTGCCTTTTTGACTAGTTAAACGATCCCGTACACGATCGACCCGTGTGAAGATCCCAGGTGTCAACTCAGCACACAATTTATATTACGCCGAGTCGGTCGAAAATGCTAATCAACACGGGATTGGATCAACTCTTAGCCAAACTAAAAATGGAGCTTTTAGTTCTTTGAAGATTAGATTTCTGAGCACCATGTTCAGTCCCGGTCTATGCCCTAACACTATCATCCAACCAGTCAACCAAGAATTAATCCTGAGGCACTTACCGAACAGATCCTGCAGCATGATGCTGTCACTGACTCATATCATATTCTTGGACGGTTTGGTCCCTTTAAGTCATGTGGAATCGGTAGTCGTCTGGTAAGCTTTGATGACCTAAGTCGGTCTACATCCAGGAAGTACTTCTAAAGCCGGAAAATTCCGGCAAAGTGCTGAAATGATAGGGAAATCTACAAGCTCGACTATATTGTGAATTATCCGCGCGGGCTCTTTCAGTGGGAGAGTGTATATCGTATCGGGGTAGTCCTTCCCGAACAAGATCCCACACTCCCAGAGCATTATGATACGGAGTTAAGGTTCATACTGGGGCCCCAAAACTACTGTTCTGAACAACTCGGAAATACGATTTACTCACATAGCACCTTCCCCATTATTGCCCAAGCCCGCCAGTAGACACTGCTCTTCAGCCGCTTTAAACGCGCTGCGTGTTAAAAACAGACAGAATAGCACTTCGGTAGGACCACCCTACACCGAAGCGTATGATATATCCAGAAAGAAATCAAACCCTCAAAGCAAACTGTCTTCTCACACTTAATCCACTTGGTTTCTTGTAATGTTAAGGCAGCAGACCGTGGCACGTATGGTAAGGTAGTTGGACTGAGATGCAGAACCGAACAGGCTCCGCTTGACTAGATTTTATTAAACAGTCGTTTCTGAGCTATCAAGCAGTTTGTCCTAAGCAGGGTCAATCGGCAAGGCGATTGGCGCTTTTTGAAGTGTCAGCGTAGCTCAGATCTCGAGGAAGATCTTTTTCGGGCCGCTTTTTCCGGATGTAAACATTGACAGATGTAAACATCTTCGCAGACGATAGGAATGCTCTGGCTGAGCCGTGGTGGTCGATTCAGGTCAGATTCACGGCATACGCATATGGGAGCGATTTCGCCAACTCGTTTCCCAATTTAACACCTGCATCTTGCATCCGAATGCACCGACCGTAAAAAAACTGAGGGTCCAATAAGACCATGTGGGGAGTAGTAGCTAGTATTAGTTTGGACGTTTGTGTTGTTTTTTGCACTGTTTGGACCGAGCTCGACAGCATTCCGCAAGCGTTCAAGATGTTTTACATGTTCTGTGAATAGCGAATACAACCTGATCATAAATTCGGTAAACAACTACCTTGATGACGTATTGAAAATGTGGACGCCCTAGTCCTAATTGGAAAATCGGATGTGGTCGGAAAATGTTGGCGTTGATGGGAGAATGAATGGTTTTCAACATTTCTAAACACAGTTGATTTATTTGGCACGAAATATATAGCAAGACACCATACGTGTAATCACTCCGGTCATCGATGAATACAGGTCGACGCTCCGAAAAGGAATCGCGTTTGCGAACAAAGCGCAAAGTGGAGAACGATGGCGCTCCACACAAGTAGTCGTCAAAATAAATCTGGTAATCGGTACATTATATCAGGCTTTATTTCGTGACGAATATAAAACTCACGTCTTGGTTCTTTCCCTTACAACGTCGTTCGTTTTTAATGGCGCTACAGTCAAGCATTTACAAGCACTGTATTATCCGTTAGCACGCGGATTTCATTGTCCGTTCTCAACATTTGCAAGCATACAGATAGTTGTAGAACCGATAGTAGAAACACGCGTAATTAGAAGCAACCCAAGAACATCAAAGCTCCAGATGGCTTTCGAGATTGTACAAGCTGAAGTATGCAAGGACAGGCCTAAACGCCTTGTGTTTAGTAAGTTGTTCATTTAAGTAAGTAGCTCATTTTTCTGACCGAGTATTTTTGCAGAGTGCTAACTACAGTGTACCATATTGGGCATTGATTGCAACGTCTGATTAGTATACTTTATCAGATAACCCTTCATTGAGTGGGCAAGATAATTATAGTGAAGATGACAATACGACACTGTTTAACGGTATGAAGGAAAAGATAATCCCAACGAATGTGTAAGGGCTGCATCTTCGAATATATTCCGGGGAACGGAAATGAGTAAATAGAGAACATGAATGTGTTGAGTGGGCAAGGAAAACAACAACGAATGAGCTGTACATTTGGCTGATACAACGATCTAAGGGATTGGAATATATATACGCATGAGGTAGTGTACAGCTACTGAACAATGAAGTAATTGAATGTTGGAATTCGTTCAAAATACCAGGCCAGAGCGATGGAGACGATCACCGTAAGAACAGCACTAACAAGTAGGGTCCGCCGACGAAGCTGAAGGAAATAGAATAAAACAGATAAGGCACGTGAAAAATTAAGCAGTACAACGTCTTAAATGCAAGTGTTGCGAGCAAGGATGATCGAAATGTACTGTTCTGGATTCCAATTATAATAGAATGAATAGGAGGACAGTAGAAATTTCATCAGAATGTCCCAAGATAGCCACTATTGCGGTTTGTCACCTGGAGACATTTTTCCGTCCTCGGTTACATCTGCATCTCTTCGCCCCTAGTGATTCGTCAGTCCCGAATCGGCCTACAACAGTCACGCAGACTAAATGCGTGAATATGTAGTATTTCAACTACGTTCGTATGGCAGACACACGAAGTATTGATCAGTCGCGAACATTTCATCTGCCCCATGCTAAATAAATCTGGAAAGGAAAGTTGCTCCAAATGAACATCTAACATTAGATGACCATACGTGCAATGTAGCCGTTAATATCATACATTTATCTGCGGTTGCACTGCTTCCACGACTGATCATGGTATCACCAACAATAAGCGGTTGAGCATGCATATAAAGATCGAGGGGGATATGGACCAAATTTGATTTGCACCGTGGGGAAAGGTTCGTGGTCCCATATCCACGTTGTGAAGTTTTATTCGTCAGACAAACCGCCATTTCAATAAACCAGGTATTTTGATGCGGTACTGACAGACAAAGGATTGCTACACTCCATCTATGAGTTTGAGAAAAACTCTGATGTCTCACTACTAGGGCTTCTGCGATAGATTTCTCGAATTTTTACTTATCGAGCCAAACTGAACATACGTAGAGATTGCAAACCAGGTGTTTTTTTAAATGTATAATTCGACTCAAATTATCGGTAAGTGCCTAGTCTCACTTGTTTTCGAATCACATTCATCATTTAACGTTGGAGGTAACTATTGGTCTAATATGTGACTAGTCATATCCCACAGCAAATTCCACGAATGATTTTTGCGGTATTTGGGGGTGTGCACGGGAAATTTTCTTTTCGGTGGCAAATAAAGCAGATGGATAATTGGGGTAGAATCCGCTGGATCTTTATGCCCACCCCGTTCAGACTTATATATGGCTAACATAGAAAACAAGGCAAAAATTCAAATTATTAACAGTTTTACACATTAAGTTGATTATATTTGTCACAGTAATAAGGATGTTTCTTGAACCTACATCTGGTGAAACTAAAAGTGTCACATACATACAGGGCACACGGTGTTCTCAAGAAAAATGCGACTGGTCTAAACCACGCTGTTCATGAAAGTACTAATACACAGAATCCTGGAGCCTCAGTGTTACTGGATAACTTAATTGGTGGGTGAAAATGTCCCCAAGTATACTGCCTCATGGAACAGCTAACACAATAACCAGCATGATGATACAAATTTGAGCACAGTGAAGGAAAACGGCAGTTGGAAAAATCAGGCCTACGGAGTGAAGTCGCCGTTATTGTGCTGTGCGACACAGATTTCGACGGATAGGGCGCTGGTTAACCGGCACAACTGTGATTAAAATCATATTAATCTTACTGAAGGCAAGTAACAGCAACAAACGGAAACAGTTGCGTGGTTTCACTGGTACGTCATCATCGAAAGCGCAGTATCGACGTTCGACATTGAGGCCTCGCTACCGTACAGTCATAAGATAGTTAAAAACAAAAGTGGACGGGGGAGAGATACAGTGCGAGCCTACTAAAACTAACCCGAGCTGTCTGTGCCTACAGACACCCACTGAGAAAACCTGGGTAAAAATGAGAACTTCGCTGCCATCGAATAACAGTAGTGTCTTGCAGCACTTCCAACCATGCACAGGGAAGATCGTACGGACTGATTATTGGGAAGTGAGTTGCACCAACAATACAAAGGCTTCCCGTAATCGCTTTCATACCCCTCTTGCAGGTCAGACTGACCATATGACCAAACCACCGCAGCTTTTGGTGCTGGACACATTGTTCAACTGAAGTCCCTGTTGCATGATCGAACACTTGTTTTCTAATTACCTCATGAAGGAGTCTTCAACACCAACCTATACGAGCTGTTGTTCCAGGAAAATGTTTATCAAGGAGCTGAAAACATCTCGGTTCGGCTGCTAGAAGAGGGTACGTCTCACAGTATAGTTTGATGAACACAGTTACGCAAAATTAGCACTGACCTCAAATATGGAAAGACAGAATAAAACTTACCACAGGAAGCTGTAGTCCGAAGAACCGAGAACGTGTTTTCATACTCTTGCTGTCATGCTGAGAGAACATCTTACTAGCAGCACGAGACCAACGCTCACGCTCACGCTGCTGTAGACACCGAGCACGCCGTAACTCACTGGCAACCATAGAGGAACTTGGCACCATTTCGTGAACCAGCCGCAGTATTGGAATAGCTTCGTCTACCTCGGCCTGTTCGAGCAGGGCCTGTGAATGGGCCAGCAAATGAAGAAATGGATCGGGCAGATTAAAACGATAGGCCACAAAGGACGAAAAAACATCGGTCGCTCATAATTCTAGCGCAGAGCATAGATTGTGTATTGATTACTATAGGGTTTCGTTGAACTGCACTCGCCCCGATTGGAAAAGCTATAACTTTCCGGTATTCTCAGAACATATTCTAAAGTTACGGACCGAACGATTCACCAGGTTTTTTGAATAGGCGTTTATGAATGTCCCGTTTCATACTGACATAGGATACAGTTTATAGATTATGAATGGCACCTACCTACTTGCAGCTCATCAATACATGAATCGCGAAGCCAATAGGATAATCAGGGTCTGGATAACTCGGTTTTACGTCCTTTAACTTCAAATCAGTTTATCGTACAGGAGGGCCCACAGAACAAAATAAAAAAATCAGCTGTAGCACCCTTTTGGTGCACGAGGGGTGTGAGGCTACCACGTTGACAAGCCTAGAAAATATTCAGGAAGATCAATATGGACACCGAAATGGATGCAACATGACTGACCCTGTCTTTTCAGTGCGTCAGCCGCAGATAAATATGGGGAACTGAACCAAGTTGCTAAGACAAGCGTTGCATTCGATAACCCATATGAACGTATTTAGAGCCACCGAAACTTGAACGTGGACACCAGGGCCGCTGTATACCACTATGTGCCGACGAAACATGGACGGCACAATAGGATTCTTGACAAACCCCATGCAATCAACAATTCATGCAACATAGTCCGAAATCCGAGTCACAAAATTTTTTCTCAAACGAGCCATGTCAAAGGAATCGGGCGTACCTTGATGCGCAACCAGCTGCGTTAAACGCACCACGCGAAGCCAGTGAACTGCTATCTGCACAAGCTTGAAGTTTGGAATGCAGGTAGTTATCGTTTTTAAAGACATTGAAGAACTCTGTAATACTGGTACAATGTCACGAGCTTGCTGTCACAGAACTCCTGTCACCGACATTCCTAGGTGGAAGACCAAATTTTTCTCCTCTCCAAGGTGACTTGTTGTTTAACGGATAAATTCTCGTCCATCTTAGGGTCATTGTGTTATCACATTGGTCAACGACTAGAAATCCTTTCATCATGGTCCCAGGTCCGGTTTATTCGACACGTACAACTGGTACCCCCAAAGTCTGTTAGTTAAAACGATATTTCGCTAAGGAATAAATAGAACGGATGACTTGCCCTATTTAGAAAAATTATTGCATGAAGAAGTTATCCGTTATTCATCTACCAAGAACATCTTCAAATTAAAAAGTAATAACGTACCTTTCCCTTTCGGAACAACGCCTTGAAGTTCCGAGGGTCCCTCTGTAGAACAGCATTGCAGGATTTAACTGCCGCATCGTACGCCTGGATCTGGAGAGTCAATATAGACCAGGGTAAAACTAGGCCACGTTATACTTAGTCAGAAAACTGAGTGTCCTTATACGTAAAACTGGGAATGATGATGATGATGATGATGAAAACTGGGAAGAAGTACTTAATTTGAAGAACATCAAACAATCATCTCTAAAAAGTGAAGAAAGTCTCATCACAAGGAAGGAGTTAAACATTCCGAGGATAGACTTGATTTCCAGTTGCATGAGTTCAAGAACAGCTAAAAATTTCCCGGTCAGTGTCAGGGTTCAAAAGTCTCCAAAAAGAGCCAGGGAACGCATTTAACAGAATTAGGACTCACGATAAAATTATACAGGTACACATTGCGATAAAACTGCACCCATAACGAATGAACTGGAACTAATTTTGATTAGCAGAGTACATGAGAAAATCAATATCTAATTTGCTGTGATATTCTAAGATGAAAAATGAACAGAGGATGCGGCAAAATTATGGCATCGATTCGAAAGTTCTCCGGTCAACTGACATCAAAAGCTTCGATATACATTCAATGATGTTTGGATGTCTTAACTCATTTCCCTAAAACAGAATCAGCTACTTACCGATGCAGGTGCATGTTTCGCTTCTTCGTACGGGTAATAATAATATCAGGCTGAGAACAGGACCGCAAGCAAACCAATCTAGTGGTTTCATACAATGCAACGGAAAACAACGAAACATCTCTTCTTACCTACATACCATTGGCAATTGATGGTAACAAACTGCTAGTTACTGGATGAATGTAATGGTCTAACCGAATTCTGCTAAAATCACGCGAAAGTCAAGATAACATTAACCAGTGTCACATGCCCAAGTATAATGCTCACAATTTGGGCGCTCCTGGAACACAAAATATAAAGTGTATTGGACACAGATGACCTCAGATCCGAAACCAACTATCTCAGAATGGAATGTCCCCCGCTTGGAGCCGCCTTTGGAGTGATCAGACAAGTAAACCTTGTATTGACACGACATCCATACGAAAGAAGTTAGTCTAAATCACTCCTAATTTGTGAATTACCCATATGTGGAATGACGCAAGTAACAATATAAGACGATATCAGGGATTCTGAAGTATAGGTATAAAAACTGGATAGGATAAGCGGTGATACTCCCAAGACACACCAGGGATTGTACCTCTCTCTAGAACTGGTTTTCTGTGTTGTTCTATTAATGCATTGTACTGGTGGACAGAACCCAATAAACGAACCAGCATACCGTGTAAGAAGGCGGGAAAATGCCATAAAAACCAACATTGAACTGATGATATTGTGTAACGGGAAAGTAGCAAGTTAAAATGTCATCCGAACCAGCATAATATACAAAATCATCAAAGTGTAAGATTGCGGATTCTCTCAGATGAACAGCGATATGAGATTGCCAAGTTTTTGTTACATTTTCCCGTTCCCTCTTCATAGCGTTCATACGGTAGCTCTGTCGGACAACATTTACGTGAATTGTGGATTCATTGCAATGTGCTCAGTGCTATCTGGAAACCGTCCTATCTCACTTACTTGCAGTATGGTTACAGGAAAATAATAGATAGCCGTATGTAGTTTGTGACTGCGTCGCATAGCGCGGCTGATGCTTGTTATGGAGTCAACGGGCCAACCAATAGGGCCAGTCATCCAAACGATCGACCAAGGTTAGTCACTCGTCAAAAAAACTTATATAGATACAAGCACCATCCTATTGAATGCCCAAACCGTCCACATAGTTTATACTAGCAAAAAAAATCGTTCAGCTGTAACATCCTTTCTGTGCCTCGCTGCCACATCATCCGAAGGAGTCACACGGGCTGGGATATTGCCAGTTTGCCCAAGCCTAGATAGGCGTCGAGATGCAGAGGTTGGGTTCGAACCAGGAACCTTCCGGACAGTAGATTCGCGCTCTAAACACTGAACCATCTAGCAAAACGAAAGTACCTTCTAAGCCCTTCTCTTCTGTGCTTACCTCTCATCTGCGTGGACTACTACGTACGTAGAGGACAAAAATTGTAACGGTGACATCTCAACACTTCAGGCGTGGAAGTTAGTCGTACGTAAGTTTCTAGAACACTCATTTGTGACCCCGGTCTTACTACAGTTCTTAATGACCTTGCCAACGATGTACCAGACAAGGCGTATCTGTGACAAAAAGCCGAAGCGCGCGTGGACAAATGAACAATTCAGTGGCTGGGAGATCAAGAAACATGCACACATTGGAGTTCCGGAGAGGCGCTGCTAGTAGAATGAACAACGTGGTGGGGTGTGTACTCATTTTGAGGGAGGGTGTTTACAGTTATCTCAAATGACTTATCTGGAGGCCATCCAGGAAGGTCTACTGCCGATTTCAATAACAATCATCCTAGAAGACAGAAACAACCCATATTGAAATGAAGAGTTTTCCCAGAGGTATTCTGGAGGTTGGTTGCGTTGTAAATCCCCCGGGCACTCGTGCTAAATTCATAAACTAGTCCCACTGAGTGCAGCCGAGCATGATTCCGTGTACAAGCCACAGACATCGGCTTACAAAGGAATTAGGTCTATGGGTGAGCATGCGTCAACTTGCTGCCAGTCACCAGCCTGCCTAAATGTTCGCAGTGAACAAGTTACTGAAGCAAGTCAAGATGAGACTTGTTGTTAGGGTTTAACGCATGAACCACTCACTACTTTCCATGTTGTCAGAGTGATTCAGGTACTAGTCCTGTGCGTGTTCTCACACAAGACTGACCAAGGGATATCACCACCATCATCGACAGCATGACATCAGTGTTCAACATTAGTGCTTTGCTGCCGTACAACCATGATCGTATTAAAAGCCTTATTGTGAAGAAGGTGGACACGGAAATGACTTAGTGCTGGCTTATTACAATCATTTCGAGAAGCCTACACCTACAAACACTCATTCAGGCGATCTGGATAGAAACTGAGTACAAGATCGCCACCGACATCGGTTGGCAGCCATATCTTGTAGTGTCTCTAACCAGGCACAGTGAGGATCACGCGGTCCCCATCCTGGAAGGCGAGTAGCACCGACACATTGACCTCATCTGTCACACTACAATCGGAACTAATACAACATCCAAGGTATGCAAAAAGCTCCACAACTTCCAGTTACTCTTCCTGGATTGTGAGTGGCGTGTTTAGTGATTGATTGTCCGGGAGCATGACCTTACACTCTATGGGTGCAAAGTGCATACCAAAGGACGGGATGACTGACCAGCTTACTCAAAAACAACTGCGTCTGAGAACGATGTCGTCTGCATATTCTAGATCGACGAGGTTCCCGTCACAGGTTATTTGAACACCGGGGTTTTCAAGATCTCCCAGCGCTCGTCCATGATTTTATCGATCGAGTAGGCGTCCCTGGCGGACACCGCTTTGTCCACGGAAGCTTTTGGACAGCTCTCTGTATACTCACTTTTGGAAGTTTAGGAATACCATGAATGTGTTCACAAACTTCCGGGGCATTCCTTGGTGAGCAAGCGTGTCGAGAAGAACAGACCGATCAACCGAGTCAAATGCGCCTTGATACCCCATGAGTACTACTAGAATTGTGGGTCACTTAAACGTATAGCGTTGTTCTAGTAACTGAAGATTTGGCCAATGCATTCCCTGCCAGGCCGGAATCCTGCTTGCTGCTCTCGAGCCAGTGTCTCACGAACCACCGTAAGGCAACAAAGCATATGTGACGCAGTCTCGTTGCGACCGGGGTCAAGCTGACCCCCCTGTTGTTGCCAAACTTGCTACAAGCCCCTTTTTTGAAAATGGGCACTATCATTAACCCTCCCAAGCAAACAAGCGCTGACTGAGGACTTCACCCCCATCTTTGAAAAATGCGGGTGGGAGGTCATCCGGAAACTCGGTGGCGCTTGTGACAACCTATGCAGTCCTAAACCTCCGAGGCCGTAGGTGGTTACCTGTTCACCGTCCAAGGTCCTACGTCAACTTTGGGCTTCAGATGAGTGGCAGCTGGTGGCCACGACATTTATTGCTAGAAGTATTCGGTCCAGCGGTCGAAGCGTTCCTTATTCCAGATGGTCCTTCCTCCAATCATTGATGGTTTCGCTCACAGGTAGTTTCCAGGGACTGGCCAAAGGGATCAACTGAACTAATCTTCGGGCATTACCGACTTTCTGGGACTCTTCCATTTCCTCGGCTTTCCGTTTCCACCACTCTTCACGGTCGGTTCGCAAGCTCTTTCACCTGAAGTCTGATGATTTGTCGCATCAAGTTATGTTCTAGACTGGTTGGGATATTTTTGCGACATTTAAGCAGTGCCACCTTTCGGTCTGATATCCACTACTTGAGTGCTCTTGGTGGTACCGTGCCATAAGCAAAACTCTCAGCACGATTGAAAGAGGTGGCAATCTCGTCGCAGTATGTGATGGTGGAGCAATTGGAAGATACTTTAGAGTACGATCGTGATTAATTCGTCCAACATCCCGATCTTCCAATTTTTTAGTTGCCAGACTATTTTTCGGAACCCTATGCGGTCTTAAAAAACGAAGGGAGAAATAACACTGGACGAGTGCGTGGTCGGAATCCATAAATGTGTTCCAAAACGACCACCAATCAGTTACTGATCCACACCATCGCCAACTGATGGAAATGTGATTGATCTAATTCGTGACCGGCACGTTGTTGAAGAATACCATGTGCCAGACGACCTCGGCTACTTCGGAACTTATTACTGCATAAAACCAGCCTGGGACCAGCACACAGCTGAAGCAGTAGTTCACTATTGTGCGTGCTTACCGAGTCCAGTTCTTGTCGACCACCTAACTAAGTCTCAGATGTGCTAAGCCTGCCCACGTTTGCTTTCAGATCTCCGGTAACCACAACGATATATAAGCTTTTCGCTCGCCGCAACGTGGCATTCAGGGAGTCATAAAAGCTCTCCTTGATGGTGTCAGAGCTACAGATAGTAATTAGATACGACAAACGGACATCAGTCAACTTCCCCCTTGTTAAACTCCTTCACAGACGTTGCCAGACGAACTGCGCAGAAGCGACTACCAATAGGTATCCAATCAAGCAAAGATGCTTCCGCGCTGTGACTTATAACGATACCAATCCCTTCACATCCTGTCTCAGCAACATCTGGATCACCAGAAGTGCGCAATCGGAACCAAGTGGAGACTGACGGAGTGGTTAGCTCAATCACTGTGCTTGCATCTTGAAATCTCGTTTCTGAGACATAGCACACATCAATCAAGCGATTCCAGTGTGACAGCAAGAGCAGCTTGTTGTCTTGCTTGCTTCAGAGTGCGCACATTGAACGCAGCCAGATAGACAGGGATTCGAGGATTGAAGATTGATTTGAAGGTACCTGACGATGTCGGTGTCATGTGACGAGCAGATGTTGTACGCAAAACCGATGCAACACGAACGGAGTCATCAGTTCTAGGTGCTGGGTCTACAAGAGGAGGGTTATTAACGGGGTGGGGAGGGGGCGAAGTATGTGAAAGAGAAAGGGAGGGGTCAGCAGTAGCATGTTTTCGCTTACCTGCTCTGCTGTATGCAGCAAGTAAGGCGACCCGGCTGATGGCACCACGCGACGGCCGATGTGGCATGAATTTATTTGTGTGTGCAGTTCATGGTTGTGCGTGGGCTGGGATACTGTCAGGGCGCCTACACCTAGACAGGAGGACGATTAGGGTCCTCAACCAAAGCCTTTGGCTCAAAAGCCTAACCGCAAGGCAGAGGTGTTTGGCGGGAAATCCAAATGCATTACCATTTCTACGGAACAAGTCGTCATATGTTCTAACCCCCAACCTGGAGGACCAGGAGACTGTGTTCGTCAGACCTCTAACCATTGACAAATCTGGTATGAGAGACCTTGTGAGTATCGCGGGGGCACCCCGCGGTATAGCTCATTGGGTCGATGAGGTGCGCGAACCGTCACACCATATTAAGGTTTATTCTCTTCGTGACGGTATCAAGGGATATGCTGGAAGGCGACTACCAAAACCGGTATCCCAACCGCATACTTGGGGAGGAAGGCAGAGGATCCTTTTTATAGTGACGTACATACGAATTTTACCGATGCCAAAACATTTAAATTTCGTCATGGGTACCCTTGGCTTTTCCGTAATATCGAGGAGGTAATATAATACATTCACACTGGGAAGTGGCTCAGGAAAAAAAGCCCCAAAAGAGGGAAGATATTAGTAGTGCTGCAACTGAAAATATACCTTTAATTGGGTTGCTGCCAAGTTGTTCAGCAACTTGATCTCCAACTCCTCTAAAAGCTCCGAAGAATTCATCGTATCTGAGGTTGAAGCTGTGCGTTCGGTTGACTGGTTTGCCGTTGGCACCGACAGCAATTTGAGGGCTTTATTGTAACTATTGACTGCAAATGCATATTCTTCACGCCTGTAAACAAACTCATATTGCAAACTACAAATTGAATGTTACCGATAGTAGTAGTTCCCGCGTTCACGTTTCTGATCAGCCATGGAGAGCCGCTCCGGATCCGACAAAGAGGAATAAGAGGGCGGGTCACTTGAGGATAATAAATGTACTTCGTAACGAAGAGTAGCATCTCCAGGGATGTCTGGGTCTCTGCAGGGCAAACAAGAGGCGGTAAATTAATATGCAAAATGAGTAGGATAGGCAACGGTAGACATATGGGCAAAGATAAATGTAGCCTCACCAAGCTCATGGCATGGCACTAGCGCGTTAACTGTGAACCACAGTACTCATACAGTACTCGCCCAAAAGTGCACATAGGCATTTCAGCACTGGGATTCACATCAAAGTGAATTAAAAGTCCTTACGACAGTATGTATCTGCCGGTTTACTCCAGTTGACTACCTCACTCAAGAGCACCAGCGACCTTGTCAGGCTGAGCAAGTTGCAATTTTAAGATACGGACATACCACAAAGTCCATCACGTGACTGGTTGCTTCGAACCAAGGCTACCAGTCTCTTTCTTCTCGTGACGCCCATTTGCACTTTACTCGCTGGGGTCATCGCAGCTAGATACTAAGCCGATGGTGTACAGCAAGACGCAACCACCTGCACTATCACGCGTGAAATTCCCTTACCCCATCCCGGATGAAAGAGTTCGGAAAACTGCGGTAAGGATTGAGTGCACTATCTACACACTTGCCATAGATAGCAAGTTGATGGCTACCCGTGTTTCGTAGCATTATCGTTCACAACTAACAGTCTGGAAGCGCAAGACATAAGAAAGTCAACTTGTTTGATTGGGCCATTCACGCCTCGTCGATTTGGTTCCACAACGGAGCGAGTCAAGTAATTTCAATATCTGAAGTCAGCTAACGCTGTTGATCGGGGGACAATTTATACAGTAAGGCCCGGTAATACGCAGGATACACCCTATTTGATGGTGCATCCACTAATCGCCTTGTCCCGGTCAAAGTGGAAAGGCTTAGTGGGCGACACGACGCTAAATCGCATAACTTAGACTGGGACGATCGATCGCCATGCATTACGGGCGTGCGCCTCAAGGCGGTATTTACAAATGCAAGATGTCTGGCGTGACAAGGTCACGAAAGATCCTCAGCGACTTGGCAAAATAAATTAAACGACCAGGTATATGGTCGAAGTTTCGTAGGAACATGCAATCCACTTCCATTTTCATACCAATAGTCAACAGTCTAGTTGCTTTTGGCGAACAGCGTAATTAAGACCAACCCGTTTTTTCAAAGGAAACACTAAGGAGATGCTTGCCGACTGGCACAGCATCTGGACTTTCCGTACGAAATGTCATGGCTTGGGTGTACCGTGAAGTGTGTGGTCCACAATGGTGAATCTATTTTTTTTTCTAATCAAAGGCACAAGCTCAATTGTGACGCCGACAATCCAACTGAAGAACACGGATCCTTGGATGGCCACTTTAGGAAGGATAAGATGTCCCTAGCCCTCAAAAGTGAGATGAAAATTCTTCAGCCAAGACGAGAAGATATCGTTCAACACAGTTCTGCCAATGTAAAGGATTGTCAAAAACAACTAGACCGACATGACTTTTCACATGCTGTTTCCTCACCGCCGTGAATCATAAGCATTTACGTTCGCGCAGCGTTTATTCACACTGGTAAACATATAACGGATTATTCTGCTCTCATCCGAACCATGAAAGTTCATTCTGTTCAATCAAAGTTTGGTGGAAATGAAGCCTGCTTGACATACTTCGGGCCTGAGATAATGACTCCAATTTCAAATGAGATATCAAGTAGACTGTCTTTAAGATGAATACAAAGAGATCATCCATTCATGAGTCAAGAGCGAGAAGATACCGGAATGTCGAAAATCGGGGCTAGTTTCATTCCACTGAGAATCCTGTCTGTATATTTCATCAAGTGTGAGTACTACTGGATTACGTCCGACTAATGCAGGGGATAAATGACCGATTTGCCAAAACCGATTTGCCGGAGTGTTTTTCTACTCCATCGTGGATAACTCGACTTCAACGTCCTCCGTAACGTCACATTTTTATTGCAAAAATTACATTCCAGGTGGGATCAGATAAGAAATAACAGGACACAAAAGGATGCGATACATTTTCTACAGAATCAAATATTTGACTTAAGGGCCATTCGGTTGTCACGTGAAACTAAGGATCTTATGGACCTCCTCGAATAGTGACCGATCCTTCAGACCAAGTACCAAAAGATAAGCAGAGTGCGGTTGAACCATTTTGTCAAGTGAGAACTTTTGTCGACAACGCCGTTCAAATTTTCGCATTACCCTCTGAACTGGGCACCCGTTTATCTGGTATCAAAACCACTCTTCTCACTTGGACGTCAGCTATGGCAATTAAGTAGCAGCTTCCAACACTAGTGCACTGCTATCCAAGATGATGAAGATAACTTGGAACCCACTCAAAACGTTCGCCAATCCATGCCATTTGTCGAACCTAATGTTCGAACAGCATTCCTCCAATTATATTTTAAGAACAACCGAGAAATCACATTTTTTTCTGGCCTAATTCACTGACCCCCTAAATAGGAATCATTGCTTTTGCTTAGCGAGTCATGGACCCGTGACGTGCGTAAGAAAACCGCCCAGCGGAAACTGGCCCAACAACATTTGGGCCTTGTTTTACTGCGCTGTCTGCTTACATTTTGAGCTGGGGGTTCCGACAATGACTTATTCCTAATTAAGCACAATATTTCGTTAGCGGGAAAAGGGGTGAAGTGTACGACGATGCCGCTCTTTATCTAAACTCACTTGATGGCGATTTATGACACACAGCCCGGACATAAGGACTGGGCCATCACTTGTCCCAAACTTATGAGTCGGGACTATTGTTATGCATTGTTTTTTACTGTTTCTTCCTCGTTTGTACTGTGCCCACATGGTTTCCAGGTGCTCTGATGAGTGCTCAGTTTATCACGTCCGCCGATTTAAGGGTTGCTCACAGCTCACCTGTTAGCATTGTCGACAGCTATGTTCAGTCTCTGGTACTCTCTTTCATTCTCGTACGTTTCTGAAAACAGCCGAGGAAATTATCGCAACCACGTGGGATGATGTCAGAGCGGGTGTGGGAGTGCACAGGGTTGGTAGGGTTTAGACAACAATGACCGGAGTTCACTCGGTGCGGGTGGATTGTTCACCCGAATCGATTTGTTCGTGTATCTGTTCATTTTCATTCCACTTTATTTACTTTCAGGAGACTTCTACCTGCAGACGGATGAACCGGGTACGGGAATATCCCGAATCGCTGCCAAATGAACAACGATCAGCAGAAAAGTCTCACCACAGTGTTCCACTGGTTGGCGCCGCATACCAGCGCACACACAATAGCTCAACAGCAGCCTCAGTTGTTGTGAATCAGGTTCTCAATCGTCTGAAAGGGGCAGTGGCAGCAGAGAGAGATTGGACACTTCCCAATCAGGTTTGCATCGGACGGGTCCAAACCACTGTAACTGAAGTCGCTGGATCAATTTAGAGAAGCACAGAACATTATAAGTGTCCCCTGACAACATCGTTGGACAATTGATGGTGCCAACTTTCTTCCATTATTTGCCATAAACACTAGTGATCAAATACTTCGAGTCTGTGAAGATCGTTAGCTCTAGGAGCAGCTCTGTTAGTAGGATTCGGACGGTCTCAGTGTGCAGACAGGGCTTCATTCAAAGGAAAGTATCTGAGCGTTTCCATTAGGAAGTGCGCAGCCACATGAAGGCCTTTTTAACGTTGACGATGCGGACGCGTCTATACTATGTGGAATAGTGACAGGCTGTTTCACACATAGGCGCAGCGCGCGAGTGAATTGGGCTGCCATCCTGCTTGGAGCAACAATATGGTAGTGTTGTATCGTGCTATAATAACTGATCAGAACGATGAACAAAAGGGGATTTGCTTCCAGGACGTATCTATACTAGCCTCCATTGACAATCGTCTGGGTATATGCATCTCTAGAAACTCATCGTCAGTGAACCTTATGTGATCTAGGGAGTGTAAACTCGGTCATGAAATCGATGCCAAAATTGATCACAGATTATTGATGGCGAGTAATCCGTCCACCAAGCGCGGCAGATACCAGTTAATTTCGTCTAAAACTGCAAAGGTTTTGTATGTTTAGACGATTACTGGATCACGTTACCATCCACGGAAGTGTCATTGTTCAGTTTACAGAGGGGTGTGTGAAAAATATCTCCTGATTCCCTGACTGTACTATGTTACTCAGCACTTTCGACATTCCGTATATTTTGAAGTAATATTTCCTTATATTGTACGTTTAATCTGATAGAAAACCCACACATGCACGAGGCCTTCAGTGATCTTCAAAACGACACATACATGTGCACTGTCGAGAAACCCAGGTTCTCCTACCGAGATACCAGGGTTGCATTTAAAGCTAGCACACAAATCGACGGAGTTATTAAGATCTGTCGATAATAACTACAGACGTGAGTCTTCTGGTTGAAATATGGAGTACACAGTCAGTATGAGGAACACAGCGTACGCAGTCGTGATCTTATGTACAAAAACATCTCACGAGATGTAATCATCAGCAGTGCGCATTTTACGAAACTCCGAAGAGTCTCGAACCCGCACCGCCCGGCCTAGCAGTTTGAACACTTAACCGTTCGGCCACGAGTGGCTGATCAGCAGTGTGATTAACTCGCACTTAGACAGGATATAGCGCCGCTCATCCTTCAATCACGGGATCTACATCACGCGGTCACACGGGTTGACTGGCTCCTCGAGCAACGACTCTTCGGAATTTCGTGAGATGCGCACTGCTGATGATTCCCAATAAGGATGAGACAGCTGTACAGTGCTTCTCGGCTTTTCAGCATAGATTGGCTTCACTTACAGGACGAAATCTCCACAACAATATAGCAGCTTATTTATGGCAATTAGCTAATTCACGGTAAGAGGTATTATTTTTCAGCAATCAGGTGGCGGACTAGGAAACATTCAAGTTTGTTGCAGCATGAGTACTCCATGTCCCAACGAAACCGATGGAAAAACAACAGAAACGGACCAAAACTTAATCCGAAACTTATCGCCTTCCTACAGAATTCTAGGTGGAATAACGGCGCACCACCAAAGAATAACTTACGGTAAACGTACCTTCCTAAGGATCCGTAAGCGAAGCGCGCGTCAGTGATCAGTTCAAACCGCTCGTCCCGCTCAGCAAGTGGGAGGGACAGGTCAAGCGCTGGAAACAGTACACCGGAAATCAGCTGAACTCACCTTGTATGACGTCACCATCTCCCAACGTGCACACCATTGAGGCCACGTCATCAACAATAGTTCCATCTTCAAGATAACCTTTAAAGCTGATTTCCACGGATCTCCGTGCTCACCTTGTATGACGTCACCATCTCCCAACGTGCACACCATTGAGGCCACGTCATCAACAATAGTTCCATCTTCAAGATAACCTTTAAAGCTGATTTCCACGAGATCTCCGTGGTTTGGTCTGCTTTTCCTACCAAGACCCTTTGTTAGAATCTAACAGATAAGAAGTTATCGGAGAAATTGACAACTTTTTTAGTGATCAGTCCATTGCCCAATACGTCAATGATCTCGTCCTCACATGTATCCATTTCAGGATAGGCAGTGGTTGTTTCTTTTATCTGGTCATGCAGCTGGGACGACTCACCAGCTGGTGTGCGATCAACAATGACATCCACTAATGAGGCGTCTGGAGACGGATGGTCCTTTGTGCCCTCAAGGGGATCCAAGAATTCATTAGTTTGACTGCTCGATGAATGAACATATTCGAGGTTGGAATGACGCTTTTTTTTCCGGGTCATTTCAAAGATCTTCAAAATGGCGTTGTAACGAACACAAAATAGATGAGTGGAAATGCGATCGAGACAAGCGAATATATCAAGCAATTTATATTGTGTTAAGTTGACTCTTCGAGCAGTGCACCACCGTGAATCTGTAGGGTCGATTCAATTGTCGATTGCGTTGAAGTTTCTGAAATGAGAGGTACGGGTTCAGCTAGCGTTTTCGAATGACTTGTAAGTATGGACGACAACTGATGCCTTCATTTCTGAAGCAACAAGGTAACACACCATCTTTTTATATATGTAAACAAAATAATCCCGGACAGCGGGCAACAGAATAACCAAGGGAAAATCGGATAAGTATACGAAGAGTTTGCGAACGGGCCAAAGATGACAAAAAAGTGATTATTGTTCGCCATAAAGGGCAATTTTGAGCCATTTCCAGAGCTTCTGACCAGTCACTGTCATTTTTATCCTAGTCAGGCAGTCTAAACGATCCGATAGAGGACTGTCAAAATGTGACGGTCGAGTGCCGAGTGTTTTGTTTATCTCCTCGACGTCTCCTTTAACCTTCACCCGGTGCTACAAAGAGAGTCATCATCATCATGCAAAGAGAGTGCAACGTAGACGCCATGAGTCACTATCCTCAATAAATGTCCTAACCCTCCGGAAGTGGTGGTTCATCATATCTGCTAGTACATCATTATCATCATCATCGACAGCATGACATCAGTGTTCAACACCGATGCTTCACTACCGTACAACCATGACTTATTTGAAGGCTTTATTGTAAAGAAAAGAATAAAGATGGATGGGGGAGGCGCTTAGTGCTAGCTTAACACAATCATTCCGAGGTGCCTACACCTCCAGATATTCACTCAGGCAATCTGGATAGAAACTGACAACAAGAACGCCACTGACATCGGTTAGAAGTCATATCTTGTAGTGTCTCTAACCAGGCACAGTGAGGATCACGCGGTCCCCATCCTGGAAGGCGAGTAGCACCGACATCACCTAAGCGTTTCGTGATCTCCCTCATACTCCTCTGCCAAGTCAAGGGTTGGCAACCTCTTTGCTTACGCCAATCTGAGTTGGGCATGGAAAGCAGCACTCTTCCGCAAACGATGGCTAAGCATACGCAGCACGTCCCAACCAACGCAGCTTTTGGCGCTGGATACATTCTCCAATGTAGGTACCCGTTGCAAAACCGAAAACGCGCTTTCTAACTGCCTCGTTACGGATTCGCCGACACCAAGCCAAACGAACTATAGTTCTGAGACGAGTGTCGAACAGCTGAAAACGTCTCAGTTCCGCTGCTCCAACAGGCCAAGTCTCACGGCCATGCAACAAAACGACCCGCACTGCAGCTCGATACACACGTCCCTTCAGATTCAGGGATACATCACTTTGACGCAAACGAGAATGGAACCTGGGAGATTCGTGCATTGACCCCATCTGTCACACTACAATCAGAACTAATACAACTTCCAATATACGTGAAACGCTCCACAACTTCGAGTGCTTCCCTCTTGATTGTAGGTGGCGCGTTCAGTAACTGCACGTCCGCCAGCATGACTTTACACTTTGTGGGTGCAAAGTGCATACCAAATGACGGGATGACTTTGGTCAGTTCATCCAAGAATACTAGCACCTTTTCCTCCTCTTCGAACATGAGAACGATGTCGTCTGCATATTCCAGATTGACAAGGTTTCCATCACAGGTTATTTGAACACCGGAGTTTCGGAGACCCTCCAGCGTTCGTTATCGATCACAAAGCTAAACAGAAATGGAGAGAGTGGGCATCCCTAGCGGACACCACTTTGTGTACGGAAGATTTTAGAGAGCTCTCCGTATGCTCTCACACGTATGGAAGTCTGGAAATACAAAGAGCTCATTATGTTCACGAATTTCCGGGACATTTCTTGGTGGGCAAATGTGGCAAGCAGAACAGACCAGTCAACTGATTCGAATGCGCCTTGGAAATCCAGGAATACTAGAATCGTGGGTCGCTTATACGTATGGCGTTGTTCTAGCATCTGACAAAGTGCGAAGATTTACTCAAGGCGACCCCTACCAAGCAGGAATCCCGCTTGCTGTTTTGGAGTTAGTGTCTCACGAGCCACCGTAAGGCGACGAAGCACAATTGACGCCAACGGTCTCGTCACGACCGAGGTCAAGCTGATCCCCCTGTGGTTACCACACTCACCACGCGGCCCATTTTGAAAATGGGCACCAACTCTCCCTAGTTGTCTGGGTCATGCTCTTTTTCCCAAATGCAAGCAAACATATCAGACAAGCGCTGACTGAGGACTTCAACCTCGTCTTTGAACAATTCGGGTGAGAGATCATCCGGACCAAAAGCTCGGTGGTGCTTGGGACAACACATGCAGTCGTAGACCTCCGAGGCGTTGGTGATTCCACGTTCATCTGTGGGTCCTAGATGAGTAGCAGCTGGTGGCCACGACAGTTGTTGTTCGAAGTATTCAGCCTACCGGTCAAGGCGTTCTCCTTTATTCGGGATGATCGTCCCATTCGCTCACAGGTGGTTTCCGAGGGCCGGTCGCTGGAATCAACTGAAATAATCTTCGGGGATTACTGGGTTTCTGAGATTTTTCCATTTCCTTGCGGCAGGGGTATTTCTGCGAAGTGGGGGGGCGGTAGGATGAGAACAGGACAGGATCCACGGATACTTAGGGTGGAGGCCTTCGCCCAAACTTCCGGGTTGGGTTTGTTCTTTTCGTTCAGTGTTCACCTGGAAGGCACATGCCAAAAGTGTGTAGCACTTCTCTTCAAGTTCTCAGCGCGGGGACTCGACTAAAAAGGCGTCTGAATGCAGCGTGAACAACCGTCGGAGGACGGTTATTCTACATACTAACTACCCGAAGTCTGCAGGTATTTTTGGGAAAACAGCTGTGGCCTCTTTTCCACGGGAAACCGAGTACTTTTAGGTAGCCTGTGGTTCATCCGACCGTGCGAATGTTTTTTGGGACGAACATCGCCTAGTGAACCCTCTGGAAAATACTCCCGTATAACTCCATAACCGAATATGGCCCGAGTTTAAATGGATTAAGGAAGTTACTCATTTCTGAGAAGTCTGCGGGGCAGAAAATCCGAATCTACATCTATTGTTCCGGATTTCCGGTACAGTAGCAGGTGAAATCAAACGTCAGCACACTGTGGTCACTATGTCCCAGTGGAGCTTTAATTAACGCTTCGTTAACGAAGTATCTTTCGTTGTCGACAACCAAATCAAGCAGGGAAGGTAGTTGGTCTGCACGCTATCTGGTGGGTGTGACATGTTGAGTCTAAGCGTTCTGTTGAATGGCTCCGGCCAGCGCCGATGCAAAGTGTCCATTAGAGCTGGAGTTCCGTCCAGGGGGTCTTTGGGGCGTTATAATCACCTAACAGCAACAGATGTGTGAAGTGGAAACTGGAGGAGAATTGTTCAAGAGTTTGTACGAGGAACTGGTTATCTTCGGTAGACTTCGGGGCAACGGTGGACCACGCCGATAAGGAGAATCGGTCACGCGCAACGGGATTCGAACACACAATACTTTACAGAAGGGTGCGACAGCGATAACGGCAGGGTGGCATGTACGCATAACGCAACCCTACAAGCTCTCTCGTATTTCGAGTCAGCTCCGAAAATGGATTAGCCATCCATCTTTGCGTCAGAAACATCTGCGGTGCGCCAGGTCCCTGTAAGTGTGTTATGGACGGATGTCCAAGGCAAGTTGATTGTTTAATATCCGTTTTGTTGAAAAAACTAAGGCAGTCTGTGGAGGAGTATTTCAGCACTAGCTCAACTGCATTTGAAGGTGCAAAGTTGAGGGGTGCGCTAATAGAGAGGTTGGCAGATTTGATGACTGTTTGAGTCCAAGACTCCGAGGGGTGCCTCTGCATCGTAATTGATGTGGTAAATGTACAGATAGGCTGCAAGGATGCACAAGAGATAAAAACCCTTGGGCGACAATTCCAGTCCGACTCTCAGATTAATGAACTGGTTGAAGGAAGCCATCAAAATAGATGTCATCACCTGCGGCGAGAGCATACACAAAAACATACAACGTTCGGGATGCTTCCTGAGAAAGCGGGTCATATAATGAATTCTCAATCTCAGGAGGTTATCCAGGATTACCACAATGCGAGCGTGGGCGCGAGCCTTGAAGTAACCAATTCAGGGACAAATGGTGCCAGCTGAGTCCAGACATAGCGGGGTGTTTTTGG